ATACTGCAGCTTTAAAAATGGAAGCCCTTTTTAAGATGTACATCTTTAAATTAATAGTAAAATTCCATCAAATTGAATTGAATAATTCCTACATATTTTAATTGAATAATTGAACAATCCTTAATCAATTATTCAATTAAAATATGTTGGGATTATTCAATTAAGTTTAGTGAAATATCACTTTTAATGAAACGCATAAATCTAAAAAAAAAAAAAAATGTTTTTTAGCGCATTACCAGAGTAAATACAATGTAAGTATGTCACCATAAAATAAAGTGTAACATTAAATTTATTTTAATTTTTTGAACTTAACGTAATGTAGCGTAAATTAATGTGGCTAGCCATTTTAATATTTAATAATTTAAACCGACTAGTATCTATTTTCATGCAACCAGTACTTATTAATTAGCTAGTGCTTATTCTTTTGGTACTAGTGCCTATTATATACTAGTGTTTATTCTTTAACTATTCATTAGATACTAGTTCTTATTTATTAGATACTATACCTATTAAAAAGACACTATACTTTTTTATTAGATTTTAGTGCCTATTAAATTAGTACTAGTACTTATTCATTAGATATTTGTACTTATTATTAGTTCTTATTGATTAGTTACTAGTACTTATTTTTAGAGACTAGTACTTATTATATACTAGTACCTATTAAATAGACACTTATTCATTAGAATCTAGTGCCTATTAAATTGGTACTAGTACTTATTCATTAGTTAATACTACTTATTATTAGATACTAGTACTTATTCACCAGTTACTACTAATTATTAGATACTAGTACTTATTCATTAGATACTACTACTAAATAGACACTTATTACTTAGATTTTAGTGCCTATTAAATTTGTACTAGTACTCATTCATTAGTTACTAGTACTTATTATTAGATATTAGTACTTATTCATTAGATACTAGTCCTTATTCATTATTTACTAGTACTTATTATTAGATACTAGTACGTATTCATCAGTTACTAGTACTTATTATTAGATATTACAACTTATTCATTAGATACTACTAAATAGACACTTATTCATTAGATTTCCGTGCCTATTAAAATACATACTATAACTTATCCATTAGATACTAGTACTTATTCATTAGTTACTAATACTTATTATTTGATACTAGTTCTTATTAATTAGATGATAGTACCAAATAGATGCTACTTACAGTATTCATTAGATACTAGTACTTATTTTGATAGTGACTAGTAACTACTCTTTTGTTGCTAGTTACATTTTTTTTCTTCTTTTGCCGTTGACTTCTTTGGGGATCTGTCATTAATATATCAACTATTCAGCTCTGACAAGTATGTATTCCAATTGTGACTAGTACATCGTGTGATAGTTGCAGGTACTAGTACTTATTTTTTAGAAACTATAATATTCTCTTACAGCCTGATCAGCCTGTCAGGGTTGTATTCGCTATAACAACGGCCTCGCTCTACATTATCCCAGTCTACATACCTAAAAATAAATAGCAACCGAATTGAATAGTTTGGGCTCTGTTGTTAACTGTAACCTTTAATATTATAGTAAATGTGTAAAGGCTCCCTATACATAGTTTACAGCATTAGCAGAAATAGATTTTTTTATCCTTACAAAAATTATATTTGAATTTATTTATAGACGGAGACACAAAAAAAGCTTTTCTCATGTTTGTACCAAAAACGTGACTTAAAAACCAAGGTATGTACTGAACCGTAATTTTTTTTGTATACGTCACACCCCAGTAAACACGGTTCTCAGTTCGCACCTCTGTGCCAGTGCCATAGGAGACGGACAGAGACATCAAAACACACTCCGATTACAAACTTCTTTCATTTCCAATAAAAGTTTCAAATGCATATCATTCTTATCAGATCACCTGCTATTCCAGTGTATTGCCTTCACTTGCATCAGCAAATGCACAAAAAGAGGGCGTCAGTATTATATGAAATCCTGCACAGATCAGGATACTAATACATACTTTCCGATTTTCACACGCGTAGGCTTATTTCCTCAGGCTAGCTGCAGTAGAAGTATTATTGTGCTAGTTCTTGTCTGTGGTCTGACTGAGCCTGTGGAATTCCTGAGGATGAGATTGAGCTCTCATGTTTCTCTTCACAGACCAATGATGACAAACTTTTTCAATTAGGACATAATTACGCTTTGACTAAATATAGTCTTGCACTGACATACTATGTCATGGGAAGTTCTTCTTTCTGATTTGTGAAGAGGAAAAGAAGGCCCCTTGATTATTTGGGTTGAAGAGTACCTGGTAGTTATGTCTGCAGGATGCACCTCCGAGGAAGTGATTTACAAAGCAATGAAGCATCACTAAAAACCTGTTTAGGTTTATTTAAAGCAATAGTTATGTTATCATTTACTAACCCTCGTGTCATGCCAAACCTGTATTACTACTTAACACAAAAGGGGACATTTTTATTGTTAGTATTGTATTGTTTTTGTTTTTGTTTTTTTATATATATACAATAACTTTTCATCTTTGTTGTGCATCCAATGAAAATCAATAGGGTCCAAAACAACATTCAACACCATATTATAACTAACTGCTCATCTGGGAAACCTACAGTATCAACTTTACATTGCCTCTTCACATTATTATATTACACTTTGAATCATTATGTTAGCGACAATATGTCAAAATAGTACCATATAAATAATGTCACTTCAGTTTAACATGGTTCATTTGTGCATCGTCACAAAGCAATGACGCATATCTTTTACTTACATAAAAATGACCAAACACCTCTTACTCTTGCACTTGTTTACCTTATATAAAGATGTGCTAGAAGGTTGGTTATACTATAATGAAGGTTTAAACAATGGCCAATGGCTTCCTTGTAAATAATAAGCGAACATTAATCACAAAATTTGCCAAGCCCTGAAATACATCAATAGTGCGGGAGTGTTTGACGGTTTCCTCAGGGAGAGGTTCAATCAAAGGAAACGAGGCATTCTTTTGGCAAGGTACAAAGGTAAGCGAAGGATTGGGACAGACTTACTGGTTTCTGTGCCAGATTTCTAAAGTTGAGCAACCTCCGCAATGCGAACGGCAAACTTACTGTATGTTTTGATACTCCACTTCCTGTGAAACAAATGACTCTCAGTTTCAAGAGAATTTTAGGCATGCAAACAACATCCGGCTTACTGAGAGAATGAACAAGAAAATAAATGATTACTTTAGTTTAGTCCAGGTTTGTTATTCTGGTTGATTTGAAGGAGTCTCCCTGGGTTTTTATCCTTACTAGACATTTCACACGAACATGTTCATCTGTACAGTACAGTATATGACTATAATTTGTTTGTGGATGTACAACAAATCCTGTTCATCAGGTGTTGTCTATTTAGAAATGCAATTAGTTCCCTAATGATCTCTAGTGTCAGTGAGCTATAACTATCCTGTAGAGCAGTTAACTATTATTTTGTATGAAACTGATATTAGCAGTAGCACACCCTTGGATGACTAAAAGTTCAGGTGTTTGTTTTAAGCAAGACTAATCGAGAGGATTGGCAATGGTAGAGATGCTGAATTACATCATTATATTTTATGATAAGATTACTGTAGCTTCCAGTTATTGTCAGGTTTCATCAGTGATAACACAACCTCCCCACTCATTATATGTGTTATGTTTCCTGAAACTGTCATGTGTGTTATAGAAACCTGAGGTTGTGTCACAGGCTTCTTGCATCATAAATTGACCAAAAATGGCACTGAAAGTAAAAAAAAGACCTTCGATATTTAAAATGTGTACAAAAAATACCCCCATAGTAATAGTTATTAAATCCTATACATTTGTTATTAATTTTGTTACAACAGTTACTTTCTTTTTTTTTTCTCAATTGACTTGAATGAAGTATTTGACATGAATGGACTGACACACTGTGTTTAAATAAGAAAACACACTTAAGAAAACGTAATTACAGAGACTTTAATTAAGTTCAATCAGAGGCATTAGGTTTATACTTGTAGATTCTGAGCTTTGTTGAGTTCCTTTGAGATATTATAGATATAGAATAGCTTCAGTATTTTTGGTTTTAGCTGTGTAGTTGTTTACTACATTTTAAATCAAACTAATATATTCAGTTATCTTTTCTGTTTCTTTTTTCTTTGCCACTATAATGACCACTGAAAGCATAATGTCCACGGCTAAATCTGTAGTGCCCTCATGTGGTGAAGTTGTCTACTGCAGTGTTTTGGATAAGTTATACTAGTCTTACTTTGTAAAGGTAGCCTAATAATTATGCTATACTTACACATTCACACAAAGGTTTTACATTGCCAGGTGTCTATGTGTTTCATATAGCTGGTGTTTTGTGTCTGAAATAACACAACAAAGCCCTATTTCTACTAACCACCACCTCTTTCAGGATATTAGTGCACTATATATCCACTCCTTTATGATAAACCTTGCCCCACCTAGCCCACATCTAACCTGCTCCTAAAATTGATTTGTATACTTGATCTAGCCATCCTCATAGTCTTTTCTCCTCTGTTCCCAATCCTCCCCCATCTCTGAGGACCCCTGAGTGAGTTTTCTCCAATGTGTCGATGATCACCATTTAGTAGGTATTTCAGAACACCTCTTTTTGCTTCTATAACTGCATGACAAGTGACCAGATCAGATTCACCTGCTTATGTTCTTTACATGAGTCGTGCAACGACTGATTTTTTTGTTTGCATGCACTGCAAGCCCACCTACCCACATCTCTCCAGCTCTGAAAGGCCTTAATATTACTCCAAATAATAGTGCTGTGTTTATGCTTATAACTTTAAGCATGTCCTTCATTTGCAGGCTGTTATTTGTTTACCTGGTCACGTACATATGAGCAAATGAATACACTATTTTGCATGAGCTGTATTGAGTCTTTTTTTTTTTGCATGCTCTGTTGTTCCTGTGGTATCAGGTTTACACTATCAAAATGGGAGTGGCTATAGGACAGTGCAATAATATTCTCTTTCTTTCTCTTTCTGTTGCAGGTGTGGCGTGAAACAGAGGAAGAGGAGGAGGAGGAAGAGGGAAATGAGGATTTAAAAGGCAGTATTGCGTTCTGTTTGCAGGTTGAGCACGCAGGAACTCGTACATATTACTTCAGTGCCGACAGCCAGAAGGAGCAAGAGGAGTGGATCCAAGTCATGAGTGAGGCTGCCAGGGTCCACATCCAAGCCACACCCAGGTACACACATCTATAATACACACTGATTCACACAAAAACAGCTTGAAAAGATGAAAAACTGGTTTAAGAGATAATTCTGGCAATGGCATTTACTCACTCTCCTGTCATTACAAACCCTGCAACACAAAAGGAGAAATGCTTTTTCCATATAAAGTGAATGAGGATGAAAATGCACTATATGGCCCTGTTTACACATTGTATTAAAGGGATACTCCACTTTTTTTGGAAATAGGCTCATTTTACCACTCCCCCAGAGTTAAACAGTTGGGTTTTACTGTTTTTAAAACCATTCAGCCGATTTTCTGATATCTAGAAGAATATCAGTAACCAGACAGTTTCTGGTCCCATTGACTTCCATAGTAGGAAAAAAATATATACTATGGAAGTCAATGAGACCAGAAACTGTCTGGTTACTGATATTCTTCTAAATATCCAAAAATCATCTGAATAAATTTGAAAACGATAAAACCCAACTGTTTAAACTCTGGGGGAGTGGTACAATTAGCCTATTTTTTTAAAAAAAGTGGAGTATCCCTTTAAGATGCGTTTTTGGTAAAATATGTAGAATAAACAGGTTTATACTTTAGATAGCAAATGCTTGATACTATAATCATATTATGGCCTTTTCAAAAATAAAGACATTTTTTAAAAACATCACTAAATATAATACTGTAAATAATACAATTTACCAGTAATCTGGTAAATCTGTGTACAATGAGAATTTATAATTTAAAAATATGACATAAATAATATGACCACATAGTGGGCAACTAGATATATAGTGCACTATAGTTTGAAGTATGCTCACTTGTATGTGTCTAGTAACAGCCAAACTCAATTCACTAGGATAGTATGCACAGACAGACCGTCATATACAGTACATGCATTTTTCCTGTGTGTCTGCACTCTGTCAAGATAAAAGTCCCACATATGACACTTCACGACCAAACAGGATAACTTATTGGCCGATGCGATTACTAAAAAAATGTCAAATATCAGCCTTGATGATATGTCAGTCAATCACTACTTGAAATAAAGTACATCAGTCATATAGACTACGTTTATATTTTTATGGATCTTCATTCATAGAGTAGCCTACAAAGAGTACATTCTTCAAGATTTCCACTTTTTGGGTTTCACAGAAGGAAAAAAAAGTCATGGGTTTGGACAGCGTCTTAAAAACAAGATTCTTGTGGAGCGAAAACAGCAGATGCTAAAAAGATGGAATGCAAGAGTGCATCCTTAGCACTGTTACCCTGATACTCTGAAACAAACAGTCATATGCACTCCTTATAAAACAACATTGCATAAAGACGATCAAAGGCATCACACTGTTTTATGACAGTGTCTCACAGATGTTTTGTCTTTCTCTCTCCTGCTGTCCTGCAGAAATAAATCTGCTGACCAAAATGACATGGTAGCCAAACGTCTGGATCCCAACTCTCATGCGGAGAACAACGGGCAGAGGCCAGACATTCACAAGCCTGTCAAACATGAGCCAAATGGAGTAGAGTCCAGAGACACCACACCCAGCACCCCAGTAACCCCTAATATAGAGGGCAGGATGGGGGAGAAAGAAGGCCTGGTACCCCATCACCCCAACGGCTGGGGTAACTATGGTCCCCCCAACGGTTCAAGATACCAGTCCCAAGAGAATGTGAGGGACTTGCGAGAGCCGCACGAGGAGAATGTGGTGATGCGGAGGGGCTTTGTGCCCAGGACGGCACCAGAGAGACTCGCCCAGAGGAAAAGCTCCATGACGCAGCTGCAGCAGTGGGTCAACCAGCGCCGGGCCATGGTGCCTCAGGACGACGGGCGCAGGTGAGGCGTCACTACCTCCTGCTTCTTCTCAGCAGGGTTATTATAGTTGGGGTTTTTAAGGGAGTTTTTATTTTATTCTTAATGAAGGATTTTAATTTTGTTTTTTTATTTTTATTTTCAATCTATCTTTGTTCGATCTACTTTAGGTTTGTAATTTTAGTTTTAGTGTTTTGAAAGTATGAACGTTTTTTTAAGCGCAGTAGTATTTAATATTAATATGCTAAACTTAACTTAATCACACTGCTGGTACAATTACTAAACTGATGTAATTTGTCTGCTGTTTTTCTCTGATATTTTTATTTATAATGCAAGGATTAAAATTAGATTGCAAAAAATAAAATGGAAATTGAAGTTCTTTTTGGAATTATAAACAAATTATTTTAGTTTAGTTTCAGTTTTTTTGTTTTTTTAAAGTAATGCTAGTATATATACACTACTGCTCAAAAGTTTGGGGTCAATACAATTTTTTTTAAAGAAATTAATACTTTTATTCAGCAAGGATGCATTAAATTATTCATAATGTTACAAAATATTTCTATTTCCTATAAATCCTGTTCTTTTGAACTTTTTATTAACCAAATAATCCTTAAACAATGTTTCACGGTTTTCACAAAGATTTTAAGCAGCACAACTATTTTCAACATTGATAATAACAAGAAATGTTTCTTGTTCTTCTAGAAAAGCACCAAATCAGCATATTATAATTATTTCTGAAAGATCATGTGATGTAATGATACTGCAAAATAATGAATAAATTACTTAGAATAATTGACATATATTAACATCGAAACAGTTATTGTAATAGACTTTGACCCCAAACTTCTGAACTGTAGTCTATTTTTATTTAAATTCTCATCAATGCATTATTAATTATAATCACTTTGCTTCTCAGTCCATCCAGGTACTACACAGTGAACCGCGGTATGCCAGCAGACTGTTACAGCGTGTACGGCGGGCCTCCGTTTATGGATGAATATCCCCTCTACCCACCCGGCGTCCGACCAGAGAGCATCTGCTCCATGTCGGCTGCGTACAACCGACCATCTCCTCGCTGGACCGTGGAAGAGAGACGGCGGTCATTGCGAGACGGACCCATATACGGTCAACCTCGAGACCCTCAGTGGATGATGGGACCCCCAGGTCCTGCCTATTACCCCCAGCTGGATTCAGCACAGAACTCTATGAGACGACTTTCCATACAGCCGCGCTCACGGTCAGTCCCTCGCTCTCCTTCTTCCTCATCGGGAGGACCCTACTCTCCGCACAGCTTCGCCTCTCCTGCCCGATCGCCCAGCACCAGGTTTGATCGGGCACCCAGCCGAATTAGAGAGGACGGTATTTATGCTGACCCCTCGGTCTACGGACTCCGCAGGTCACTGAGCTCACCTAAGGTAAAGCATCCATATAGTGACAATTAATAACCAGATCACCTTAATTGAATGATTTTGATTTTTACCAAATTTCTTAAACTTCTTGTGAGATGGGCTATCAAACTACTATTAATTTTCCATAGCAAAACTGTACTTTGCAGCTTATTGCAGAATGGCAGTTCTACACTTGCACACCAAAATATATAATTTAAGATAACATATTATCCAGACAATCCTGTAGTCAAAATTCAGTGGGAGTTTCAGTGTCACATGATCCTTCAGAAATAATAAATGTTGCAAAAAGTTGTGCTGCTTAATATTCATTAACATTATTTTGGAAACCGTGATGCAGTTTTTCAGGAATCTTTTTTTTAAAAAAATTAGTCACTTTTGAAAAAGTTGTGTATATTAAATGTATATATAGCATACACTGAATTACCATATTTAATTCTTATTGTAGTACGACTTTCCTGGAGATCGTCGCTCGTACAGCCAAGGAATGTACCACTATAACTACCCAGCATCCCCAGCATCGCTCCACAGTAAAATGGTAAGTCATTTGTGAATGTATTTAGCATGGTGCAAGCCAATTACATACAGCTTTGTCAATTGAGAATCTGCAAATCGTGTGACTGATCATTTTTGTATGTGCAATGGCATGTACTTGTCAGTTCTTATGAGTATGAGGGTGATGCACCACGCTGTGTTGTGATTAGCAATGCCGTGATCAGCATGTGTGTGTGTACTCTTCTGTGTCTCGGCCTCCATCTCTCCATCTGATGCTTGTGCGTGCTGTATGCTGTTGCTGGGTTTGACACGCATCAGGAGGACATTTTAGACGTGCAACTTCAGAGGAACCTGGAGTACCTAGATCAGCAGGTAGGAGGCTTGATCCAAAACCACTATTTAGTTTCAATGCTGACAGCACATGCTCTGCTCCAAAACCAAGCGAGTTAGAGCTACCCACCGTGTCAACATATTTTTTTATGAAATATTTGTGCCCTCATGATCTTTAGTCAAAATAGCTGTTGCAAAATCTGTTTTCTTGTCTGACAACCCGTTTACTGTCGTGAGGGTGGGACAACCTGTCACTCACATGACATCACAGCAATAGCAAACTGCAACAATCCAATCATTTCTCGAATGACAAAATCAAGTCCCGCCCTACTTTTTGTTGTTTGTTTTTTTTTTGAAAAGCCGTTTCTTTCTGATATACGTCACAAAAAAAATCTGGTATTCAGACCTAGACATAAACTGAAGGTTTTCAAATGTTTGGATGCCCACTTCAAGATAACATAAGCAACAATGTCGTCAATGTAGCCATGGTCCTTTCAAACATTTTGTAAAGAACCACCTTCCCCTCCCACTGTCTTCTCCTCCCTTTCTCCCCTCTGTTAGTTCTCACACTGATCCGAAAGTGTTTTCTAATTTTATTACAGTTGCAGGTTATGTTCAGAGCAGCAACTTATCAGAGGCATTAGGAGCAACTATATATAGCTCCTTCGTAATTTTCACATGGGAAAGCTGTAACAAGGTTGTAAGGTTTCAGGTCAAGAGTTCAACTGTACAAATATGTGTTTACTCTTGCAGTGTTTTTTAATTGTCTTCTTGTTTGTTTTGTTTGTCAGTTCTGGAAATTATTATTTTAACGCTAGGTTGGGGAAGGTTGCCACATTTTCATTGAGGCACATTATCACACCTACTGTGAAATGTTTCTTATATGTTTCTTCGATAAATGGTTTGTTGGTTACCACTGGTTTATCTCCAAGAAGATGCAGTCGTGGAAATAAAAACATTTTCAAATCTTTACTCTATTTTTAATCAAATGAATGCAGCCCTAGTGAGACTTTTAAAAACATTTTTAAAAATCCCACCGACCTAAACTGTAGTGTAAAAACATTTGAACGGTACCTAATATAGAAAAGGAAAAAAAATTACGACTTACTATTAAATAGGACTTTATGGGGGGAAAAAATCCAACTTGAGAAATATTCACTGGAGTACAAAAAATGTGACAACTAGCCCCGGTCTCTCTTCTACCTGCTGTGAAGTATGGGTTAGGTTCCATCGAAGTCGGCCATATTCAAAGTCAGGTGTATAGCCAGATGAATGATGGTTTGTTCTGCCCTAGATGACAGATGGTGATCACCTAATCAACATGGTCACCAGAATGGTTGATCGTTCCTCTCCTCGAACAAAGCTATTCTCACAAGTAAGAGAGTCGAGAGTCCTCTAGAGAGGCAGGCTGCTGAATCTGATCTACCTGGTATTCCTGCACCACCAAACCTCATTTCAGTCTCTTTCCGGCAAAGTTAGGCTCAAACGAGGCTGTTCTGAGGCTGTATTGGAGCCTGCCTCTCTCTGTGCTTCCTGGTCGATGTGGCATGTTGGATGTTTTGATAGTGCTTTAGGTGCTTTAGAACTTGATAGTTTTCAAGTTCAGTGATACAAGTTAAGCCACAATCTTCAGTTTGTCTTTGGTTTTCGATTGGTTTTCAGCCTTTTTTGCTTTATTTATGTGCCAGAATCCCAACATTTCCGATGCTTGTTTGTCCAATATCACACCCTTCATTGTGTAGTCATTGTGTATCGTGTCGTCTTGCTGTGGTCCTCTGTGTATATGTCTTATCCATTCACATCATCCAGTAAGAAAGCCATTGTTCAGTATATAGCCTTCACACGGTGGGGCTTATCATCGACAGCATTATTCAGCCATCCCAAATGCTAACAGCACGTTGCAATGGCTAATAGATAATGTATCCAACTATTCATTTATTTATTTTAAAAGTGTTGGTAATTGATAATTGTAATTTATTCCTGTGATCATTACTACAGTCTTCAGTCACATGATTCTACAGAAAGAGATTTGTTGCTCAAAAAACATTCATTATTATTATTATCAATGTTGAAAACAGTTGTGTATTTTAGTATTTTTGTTTTCAGAATTCTTTGAATAGAAGGTTCAAAAGAACATTTTGAAACATTATATGTCTTTGCTGTTTTGTAACATTATAATGTCTTTCAAACATTCTATTAAACTTTGTGAAATGTAAATAACTGTTTTCAACATTTAAAAATAATGTTAAATGATTCTTGAGCATCAAATCATCATATTAGAATGATTTCTGAAGGATCATGTGACACTGGAGTAATGATGCTGAAAATTCAGCTTTGAACACAGGAATAAATTACACCTTATTATATATTCACATATATATTCACGTAATATTTCACAATATTACCTTTTTTTTAAATCAAATTAATGGTGAACAGAAGTTACTACTTCTTCCGATCCAAATCTAACTGGTAGTGTATATATTCAGAAGACTAATTTTTAATAATATTTTGATTTTTATTTTATCTGGTTATAGGTGCCTCAGTTTCATGATGTGTACGGTGACCTACATCCCACACTGAAGCTTAATGAGATTGAAACCAGTGTAAGTCAATTTGTATGATCAAAGACATCATTTTTGGTGCATATATTTAAAACTTTATAAATCATTGTCATTCCCATAACAGACTCATGAACTTTCATTTTGTCTCTCTAAAGAAACTACTTGGCCGCTTGTGTGAGCAGAATCGTCTTGTAAAAGAGCAGGAGACTGTAGTTCATCGTTTGCGAATGGAAAAGGTAATTTCTGATTAAATGATGTATTTATAACCAGTGTTGTGCAAGTTACTTCCAAACTGTAATACATTAGGTATTACTTGTTACTGTTATTTAAAAGTAATTCATTACCTTACAATATTACTGTCCCAGAATTGTAATGCGTTACATTACTCATGTATTACTTTTGAGTTACTTTCACCAAAATAACTAAGTAGAACTTAACTTTGGGGCTGTAACGATATGCAATATGAAACCGAAATCGCGATTCGCCACATCCATGAACCTACAGAATTGCGACACACCTCTTCCAACTCCAGCGTTATTCTCCTTACCGTCCAGATCCAATGCTGCCTTATCTTTAAATTAGGCTATTAGTATTATTTGAAGTTAACATTATAAAATACGTAGACCTACACCACAAAACTAGTTGAGGATAAATTATTTAAAATTGGGGAAGTCCAGCATTATGGACATGACATTTGCAGTCAAAACTTGAAATAAAAATTCTCAGAAAATTCATGTATTGAAACATATATAGGCTATTTCCTTAAAGGACTCCAGACATTAGACAAATATCAGTCTATGTTTTATTTTTATTATTAGGGAAAAGACACACATTCATGCGTGACAAAAAAAATAGGAGGTAAAATATATTTTTTGTAATTACACTGCGCAAATCGGATGAGGAAGGGTTGGCTCTCCAGTCTCGATAGAACTTAAAATATTCATTTTATTTTAGTTTTCGTGTTCGCATTTATGAGGAAAAAACAATGTTACAGACGCGACCGCTCTGAACTGGCACTAAAAGACTGCTTTAAAACTTTCACATAGTCTGTTGCCTTTAAGAAGTAAAAGCAGACAATACACTAATACAACTGTAATACAAGCCTCACTGAACATGTAACGAGTAAAATATTACTGAAAATTGATTAGTAATGCCTTACACTACTGCGTTACAGCAAAAAGTAATATGTTACTGTAATGTATTACTTTTGTAATGCGTTACTCCCAACACTGTTTATAACATAAAATGCAAAAATACTAAGCCAAACCTTACTTGAATGTCTTCTGCAATCTCCAGGATAGTCTAGAGGGGGTGCTGGTGGCCACACATCAGGAGATGGAGCTGTACAGGAACCAGCCGCTGGCTATGGAGAAACTCCAGCTGAAGAAGGAGAGTCTACAAAACAAGCTGATAAACATCAGAGGAGAGCTGTCTCAGGCCTCAAGTGTAAGAAAACAGTTTAACAGTTTTATGAAAACACATTAGCACATTATCAAATCTAGTGTTGTTGATTCAATAAATGTTAATTTAAAAATTGATCTTTTTTAAAATATTCTTTGCATGTTTCTTTACAGGCCCTGACCACCACCCGCATGGAGTTCGAGGCACTAGAGGATGATGTGAACAGCATCCACGGTGACCTTTGGGAGCAGCTGAACGCTGGAGGGCAGGTATATTGATTTCCAAGTTTGTCATCATCATCATTAGCAGCGTTCATGTTTTCAACATCATCATTAGTTCACTTGAAAACCTTGAACACTACAAACGCTTAATGACTTCTGCCGAGACAAATCATTTATTCATGGGCACATGCAATGCAATTATTCATTTGTATCATACATTCAGCATGATCATTTTCACATGATTGATTTACCTTCATCCTTCATGGGTTGTGTGATGTGGGCATTATCATAGTAAAAAAAAATGTGACCTTGATGATACAGAATGAATTAGTATACTACATTTATTTGCTAGTAATGCAAATGCAAGGACTGCTCACATTTATTGAAATGGAAATTAATTGAATGGCTTGTGATTCTTAATTATTAATGAGAATAAAAATGCATTTATATAATCAATAATGCATGTCTTTCTTGTTTCACTGAATAGCTTGTCTAACAGAATCTGTTCTCCTCCCAGAGTGAGCTGGTACACAGGCACATTCAGAAAGAGTTCTGGAGGGTTCAGGATGTCTTGGAGGGGCTGCACAAAAACAACCCGTCTCGTGGAACAGACACGGCCAAACACAGAGGTCAGATGATCTCCATACTGGGTGGCGTCACAATCATTTAGTCAGTTTAAACCCCAAACCTTTCTTACAATTAACTGACTCCTTATTAGTGGATCATTGAAGGTCAGCAGCAAAGACATTGGGTAATAAAGTGAGATTAAATACATAAAGTATATGTTTATTATTTAACATATTTAATTATTTCAGGGTTTTTTTCATATTCTGGGTTTTTCTGTTTTTATTTTTTTTGAGGAATATAAAGACAGAGAGTTGTCAGTCAATAAATTAGAAAACAATTATAAAACAAGTAATGCGTTACTTTACTAGTTACTTGGAAAAAGTAATCTAATTACTTATCTGAAGAGACTTTTAATGCTTGAGTCACAAAACTGCCTGAGACAACCTTTAACGATTCAATCAATTCCCGATGGAGCAAAATCTACATGTTTTTCTTTTTTCGAGAAGCTGTTTCACTCGGATATATGTCACAAAAGAGAAGAAAAATCTATTGCTACTCCTGTTTCGTGATGACTTGAAAAGGAAATTCTCAATACAATAAATCAGAAATTTTTGATTAGAAATCTTTTATTTGACATTTTTATCCTGCGGCCTTTTCATACCTTTTGTGCATACATCGTGAAACTGGTTAAGTAACTGGGAATCAGAAAACATCATTAGTTTTATGATTTGATTATGTTTTATTGGAATACAACAGCAGCAAAGTGGAGCACATTACAGGGAAGAATATTAAGTTAGTTATGACGTCCTGACATAGGTCCTTAACTCTATTATATGTCTCTGTCTCCAGCAGCCAGTGGAGCATCCGGCTCTTTCAGCACAAACAGTCCTGCAAGTCCCTTGAGTTCAGTGAGTCTGACGAGTCCTCTCAGCCCCTTCTCTCCCATCCCTGGCTCTCACGCCTCTCCCACTAAACAGCTGGCCACAGAGGTATTCCACACACCATTATTCTTCAATGAAAGACATTGAAGACAAAACAGTTCATATAAATGAAGAAGGGAATGTTCAATTATTTTTCCCCTTAATAAAATCAAGGCTGATCATAGGACTTACCTTTTACATTAGAAGGATTTGCTATTTTTGTTTTTTCAGGACAGCATGATTCCTTTTTCACAATAATTAATATTTGCTGTACTGGGCTCATTTAAAGAAAACCCCTAACCATAGTCCAATGCCATGGAGGATTCCATAATAGAGTGCAACATGGGGTTTACTGAAGTAAAAATCCCATTTAAAACAAAAATATTGTCCACATAAGCCATGGACCAAACCGACCAGCTATGACAAAGGTATAGCTGGTTGATTTGGTCCATGGCTTATAACCAGAGCCGGACAGTAACGGAGTACATTTACTTGAGTACATTACTTAAGTACAATTTTGAAGGGATCTGTTCTTTACTGGAGGATCATTTTTGGGGAGTACTCATGACTTTACTCAAGTACATTTGAGAGGAAAATATTGTACTCTTTACTCCACTACATTTCTATCGATAACCGTGAGTACCCGTTAACTACTTCTAAAAAAAAAAAATGGAAAAAAGAAAAATCTCGAAAACCCTCAATTTGTTGTTTCCCTCTCAAACGTGATTGGATTGTGCAGGCGCCACTGATTGGGACAGCCTACCAGCAATCACCTTCAGTTTTCCCCCGAAGTCAACTCCATGGTCAGATTTAGATAAGAGATGAAACCATGGACGAAACAGTGGATGAAGACGCAGCAGGTCCATCCTGTGAATGTGCCCAACCCGTGGCCCCACATCACTAGACTATTTCAATTTTCTGACATTTTCTTAAATGTTAAATAAAGGAACATGGTAAAAAGATGAAAATTACTTGATTTTACTTTCTTTTACATTCTCCACGGTATTAACAGTAAGATTTTTTTTAACTCCATGTAAGACATTTCTGTACATAAATGTAAGTACTGTGGCAGTAGCAATGCAATATTTAGAAAATGTACTCTTGATACTCAAGCACTTAAGTACTTTTACTTAAGTAAACATCTGTAGTACTTTTACTTGCACTTGAGTAAAATTTAGCAAGGGGTATCTGTACTTTTACTCAAGCTGTGTACTCTGTCCACCTCTGATTATAACTGCTTAACGAAAAACGTCTTGGAACCAAGGCTGCTTAAAATGTTGCACTCTATTAGCTTGTTAGCATAAGATAAAGCACAATGAGCTTAATCAGGAATTGAATTAATGTAATTGAATAATGATTACATGGCCTGAAATGGGATTCAAAAACTATTTCTGTGTCTAATCCCTGTTTTCTGGCTGTATGATTCTGTTTTTTGTTGTTACTTAGCTGTAGTCACTCTTAAACGTTTGGTTGTGCGTGTTTGCTAGTATTCATAGGCGACCCACTCCTACAGTGATACGTTACCAAATTATACCCAGAGGTTTTTATTTTTGCCTTTTCTGGCTTCTAGCACATACCATTTCTTCAGAAAAATCTGCCCCTGACTGAACTGCACATTTTCAGACTTTAAATTTTAGGTCACAAAGGATTTCCGTGATAAAACAAATGATCTAAACCTTTTAAACTCACTCAAATTGCCTTGGCTAGCAGTGATTTATCAAAATGCAAAGTACATGTGGGTCGTGTGCAGGTCAGTGTTGCTTAGCGTTTGTGGTGAGGGATCCATGTCTATATGCTTCCCATGATTCTCTCCGCCCTCCGCCTGGCTTAGTCGCTCTTGATGCAGTGGTCTCTCTCTCCATTCCTTCTCTTCTCTCCTCCTCCCTGCCTTTCTTTTTTTCTGTAAACTTTACTGTCTTTTCCCAACTTCCCTGTTTTTTTCTTGTTTTTTTTTTTTTTCCTCCTCCTGCCTTTCCACTACAGGAGGTCGGTCCTCCGAGACCTCCACTTCCTAAATCTTACCAGCCCCTGGAATCCTCCCAGTCCTTCCCCCCCTCCGTCCCTCCCCTCCCCTTAGACAGCAATACCTGGCTGCGCAGTATGGGCCCCCATTCAGGCATCCAGCAGGAAGGCTACAAGAACGAGGAAGAATTCCGCAGCAGAAAGGTACCTCGGGAAGGCGGCCGCACTACGAGAACAAGGAATGATACTTCCACTGTGTCCATTTCATCATCATTATTGCAACCACAACAACATTACCTTTTCACGCTCACTCCTTAACTTGATAACTCCCCTTTCCTTCTGCTGTACTATTTAACTTTATATCATCTCAGTTTGCTTTTACTATTCATCATTTTGTCCTTTATCACTTTATCTCAAACCAAACGCCATCACAAATTTAACATCTGTTGTAATATTAGAAAATATTGGAATAAATGAATCAGAGTAGCTTGTCTTCCATAACAGTTCCCATTTTTCCCTCTAATGTGTGTGTGTGTGTGTGTGTGTGTGTGATGACAGACAGCTCAAGTTTCCTCATATACAGACTTGTGTAGTTGCACCATTTTTGTCCTTAGTAACCATTTTAATTTGTGTTTGCTTGTGTCAGTTCTAGTGTTGCTATGAGTCCTGTGGTTTGTAAAAATGCTTTCATTGCTTTTCCGTGTAGTCATATTCTCCCAAACAGCTTCATGCATTTACAGGATGCTATTCATCATGCTACTGAGTGACCTGTAGAAGCTCCCACTGTGCACCATGCTGACTGTTTTTTTTCTTTTTCTTTCATACTTTTCCCCTCTATGCTAAGAAAACTGTTAGGATAATGAATTGCTAAAAGCTGTGATAAATTGCGGGTGGTTTTGTAGGAAATGGTTCCTTAGTTGATAAATGTTAGTATGGGAAGGCATTTTTTAAATCATAATATAAATATAATCTAAATGGATCAGATTAAGCATCTGCTAAGAATCAAATAAGATTGAACAACTCGAGTCTCAATTTGATTCTTAGAAGATTTTTAATTATTGATTTTTTTTTTTATTATTATTTTTTTATCCTGTCAGGTCCCTTTGGGGTGGCTGGTTTCAATTATGACAGAAATTCTATTAGCAATCCTGTATATTATTTTAGGATAATTTTTTATCAGGGTTTATATTTGCTATGTTCTGTTTCAGCACAACTACAACTCACAGGGAGAAAAGACTTGTGACTTTGAGACAGAGCAAGACCGACTATCCAACCAGAATAAAGGTAAGAAGAATGCCTGTCATTTTTAATCTTGACCTTTCTTGAGCATGTGAAATTGGGGATAAATTTTGAAAATTATTATTATTTTTCATTGACCTTAGCATTATTACAGTTTCCTAAAACAGTTGAATTATTTTGCTGTTACAATGAAACATCAGTATTAAATAATTTAAGGACAATTTAAACAAAAAATAGATATTTAAAATATACATCTTGTATTGCAAAGCTAAATTCTAAAATCCCCAAATTCTAGGATGAATTCCAAAATGCTTATAGAATGGCCAACTCAACCTAGGAACCAACACAATGTTATTGCCTCACAATGGCGCCTGTCTAAAATATAGTGTATAACTGACTTTTTCCTCGCAGTTGGAATTGTTCCACCTAGGACTAAGTCGCCTTCAGATGAAAAAAACAACTCTGATGCCGTCCAACGGAGAAATGGGAAGGTGTCCAACGGTCACATTTCCAGGGTAGGTTAAATCTGTAAATTGTTTATGTTCAATGTAAAAGTTCCTCAACAATAGATATACATTTTATGATAAAGTGTAATGAACTATAAAATATAGCAGGTCCCATTAGTTTTAACACATAAATTGGTTACAGATACAAATTATATGTTTAGGTTAAGTATGAATGGGACTATGTGGCTTTTATAAATACAGCCTATAATGGTGTTTGATTTGTGTCCCAGGAGAGGCCAAAGAGTGCGGTGTTCCCAGCAGAAGTGAAGTCGAAAATGAGCGTGGAGGAACAGAACGAGAGGATACGAAGAAATCAGAGCAGCTCCGTCAGAGACAAGAGGCGCAGCCTCAACCTCTCCAGCAACCAGCACATCGATGGCTTCAGAACCTCAACTAACTACAGAGTGGTTAGCATCATACTCTTAAACATATCATGAGTTAATGCAAGGCTAGCTGGTTACCAGTGGCTCATGCTTTTGAGTTGAATTCTTACCCTAACTTTTTATAAGGGTCAGATTTAGTACATATTGAATCGTGTTATTTTAGGCACTTCACAAAGTGAAGTAAAATGACTTTACCATACACTTAAAAATAGCTTCCAAAAGTAGCAATGGCAGTCCATTTTTGGTTCCCCAAAGAACCATTCAGTGAACAACCATTTTTTGTCTTAGTGTGAAGACCATTTTAAAACCCTAAAGAAACTTTGCGCTAGAGTAAGTAAATTAAGGGCAAAGAGTGTAGTAAATTAAGTAAATTGATATATTGCATATATAATAATAATTGGTTCCATGAAGTATATGCTTAAAACATGAAATGATTTGCCACTGGTGTAAGACAAATAAAACAAATTCAAGATATGAAAACAATAGATCCTTTTTGCAATGTACTTTAAGTCATGCTGAGCATTGAGCCACTTGTTGTTCCTGTTATCCAGGTGCGGAGGAGAGTAACAGCTGATGAGGTGGATATCAAGGATCTCGAGGCAGCCGTGAGGGGAGGTGGTGTGGAGTCACCTAGGCAAGAAATTGCTCGCCTGCGACGACACGTGGAGCCTGAACACTATGACCTGGATATCAACAAAGAGGTTAGACTAGAGGACACATGGCAGCACTGATTTTTTTTTTACATAATTCAGGAATTTTACAGTTGTTTATTAAAGGAGAACTCCGGCGCAAAATGAACCTTTGGTTTAATAACACATTGGTACCTAGTCGACCGTTCTCTGAGATTTGTTTTCATGATAATTGAATGTAAAGAGTTTTATCTCTAAGAACTGTTTAGCGTATAAAGCTAGTAAATGGGGGCATTTAATATGTAAAAAGAAATTGCTAGTAAATACCCCTAACAAGGCTCAAAATAGCCCCACACTAACACAGTAACATAATGAGGGTCCCTACATGTAAAATGAAGCACTGAGACCGTTTAATAAGAAGATATTTTATAAAGACAGTCCACTTCGTGTATACAGGCAGGAGCTATCTTTGGAATACAGTCTCGACAAATCTCAAATCTCACAGAACGGTGGTACCAATGTTTTATTAGACCAAAGGTTCATTTTGCGCCGGAGATCTTCTTAAATGACTGATGTAAAGAATATGCAAGTACTATTGTGTCATTGTTTCTGCAGTTGTCAATGCCAAATAAAGTCCTGATCCCTGAACGATATGTGGACATCGAGCCCAGTACACCGCTCAGCCCAGAAGAGCAGCGGGAAAAACAGAAGAAAGTTGAAAGAATCAAGACACTGATTGCCAAATCAAAGTATGATGCACATCATGTCCTAATCCACTACACACCCAGTAACCTTCGTTTTGTTTTTGTTCTGTCTCAAACCCATTTGTTGTAATGCCATAAACCATACGCAGCACTTGCCAAACAACACGGGACTGTCAATTTTTTTTTTTTAAATGAGGTCAAGCTGTGAAAATACAAGTACAATTTTTTTTTTTTTTTTACTTTTATGTTCTTTGGAAAATGTAACTGGTAATAGGTTTGGAACATCATTGAGTAAATCATGATAGTATTTCCTCTTCGGAAAACTTGAAATATACCTTCCTTATTGTATATGAACGGATGATCTGTTTTTGCTCCAGCCTGCAAAACGTGGTGCCAGTTTTGGACGGGCCAGTGGAGGGATCCAGTAACCCGGAGCAGCAGCTTCATGAGCAGGAAAAACGCATCGAGATTTCCTGCGCGCTGGCCGCCGAGGCGTCCCGCCGTAGCCGGCTGCTCTCCGGTGAGGAAGCCTGCCGCCCTGAGGAGCCTGGCGAACTGTGACCCCTAATGTCTGATCACTGTCTGACCCTCATGCCCTTCTAATGTCACATGCTCCTCAATGCACACTTTTACCACACTTCAGTGCTGAGGTTGCACTTTAATTATAGCTATTTTTAGAACTATTAGATTTATAATTTGATTTATTTTTATTATCACAATCTACATTTGCAATATACTGTATTAATGAAGCTTTTAGATAACATCGAGATGTGTGACCTCTGTACTGAAGTACACTGTCTAATTCCATTTCGATTAACTGGGAAACTGCTCTAGAGTTTAATGACTATGAATATATTCAGGTTTGTAACCTTTACTAAATCGTTAAACATCAGAACACATATGAATTGACAAAGGTAGAGAGGACGAACATAATTTCTATTCAATTTTAACATGCCTTTGATCTCAATTGCTACAGTAGATTAAGATTTTTAAAAGCAGACGAAATGCACACATTCATGCTAATTTTAGGACGTCCATGCAATGGACATTCCTTCATAGCTTTCTTTCTTTATATTCCATATTGTTTTCATTTTATTCCATATTGTCATTAAGTCAGAAATACAATTAGCATGTATTCATTTTACCTTCTGTGTTGTGGCTCCATGAGAGGACAGTATATGGTCACCTCTATGTCCCACAAATCCTTTTTCAGTTGCTTCATGGCATACATTCCTTTTGATATTTTTTCCCCCATGATTCCACTGCATTGCAGCCCAGTGCGTCCCCAGTCCCCCTGCCTCCCCAACCAGCCTGGTCCCTCCCCCTTCTGCTGACTACTCTGACTCCTCCCACATCATGAGTGTGTGAAGGTGAGTCCCGCCCACTGCACAACAATCCCCGCCCCTTCCTTTCACTGCCAGTTCCTTACACAAGCTCTCTTCCTGGGTCCTACTCATTTCTGTCTTTGCTTTATTTAACTTGCAGTAGAGCTAGAAATATAAACGCTTAGAATATTGGTGTGTTTACACCATGCTGTTTTGATTAACTGCATATTTATTCCAGGATTTATGGAAAGATTCGAGCTACTCTACTAACACATCCTGCAATTGTGTGGACTGGCTTTCAATCAGTTTTGTCACCAAGTTTTGACAGCAAGAGTAAACAGACGAACAGTAAACCTAAAAGCTGCAATCAGCTCATGAAATTAGCCAGTGATGATAAAAGCCATATGACAAGAATTTTGAAAGGCCTTGGTGTTTGAAATTGCACATTTGTACCGTGTCGATTATATGATCTACAGTGGACTGTTTTTCGCAAAGTTTCATTGGGAGCATTTTTACCTTCTATAACCACATGGAAACCAGATGCTGTTGTTTTGGCTTCAACTGTTGTGAAATTTTATTAACTGCTAGGCCAGAAACATACTCAACACAAGTGTGCGAACGCAGATGCGAATGTTTAACCAGATGCATTGCATAAGTCCCTTTGAATGTATTTAACTTGATTTCTCTGATGGTAGCAAACCTCAGAGCTCAAAAACCCAGACCTTATTATTCAAGTAGCTATCTATAAACACAAACATATGTCAATTTTAACTAGGCCCTGCCATAAACAGTGTTTAATGTGTTTAATTTAACTCAGTGGTTCTCAACCAAGGGTCCATTAGTGCAAACTTCAAGATTACTAAAAGTTTCTACAATAAGAAATATCTTTCTTTTTTTTCTTTTTTTTTTTTTTTTCAAATACATTAATAAAATCTTATAAGTCACATGGGCATTTTTGTAATGAATACAATACATTATACATTTTTCTAGTTAAGACAAGCTCTAAAATATTTCATCGGGTAGAAATTTTTAGTATCCTTAATCACGAAAAGCTGGAAAAGTCATGGGGCCTTCAGAGATTGTTGTGGACAACCTTAGAGTCAAAAAGGCTGAGAACCAATGATATAATTTGTCGTTTTTGCAGTTGCTATACATCGTCAATATGCATTTTTTTCCCCAAACCTACACTGTGTGGCCATGTGTAGACAGCATTGGATGAGGTTGCATGTAAGACTGACTCATTTTTTTCAAATGGTTTCTCCGGCATTACAATAAATGACATGAAAAAATGTCCGTATAAGAAGAGTACGCTCGTGTACCCTAATGTTCCCCTAGTGGCAGCACATACTTGTGCTGAATTTTAAATTGTTTGACACATTTTGACAAATAAGTATTTTCTTACCAAAAACTGAAAATTCTCATTGACTTTCTTTGGTGTAACACAAACTTGTCTGTATGATGAAAGCCAATGAGGTTTAGTATTATTTTGGACTCTTTTATTGTATAGAAAAAACAGTTATATCATATATATTTTGTGTTCTACAGAAGAAAGTAAAGCCTCATTCAGACTCCATTCCAAATCCTTTTTTTTTTTTGTGCATGTCTAATTGAATTCTGGCAAAAATAATCAGATGAAATGCGATTTTTACAAATCCGTTTCGAGCTACATTTACATGTGGTTTAGCCTGTTTAAAACCAGACCATTCTCAGTTGTAACTGAGATATGTTCTGGCAAAGCATCATAGACAAATCATTTCCAGAGGGGCGTCACCAGCGGACGTCGTGGGTAGACCTAAAACCAATCAGAGCGATGAAGGAGATGACGTTTGCAGAGCGGCGGCCGGCGGAGAAACATCTCAGAGTGTTGTTCTTTGCTCGGTTTTTAACAAAAAGGAAACGTTCAAATCGCTTAAACAAATGCGATGGCTGATTCGAGCGAGTGATGTTTGACGGCGGCATCCATCTTTGTAATGTAGGCTACAATATCTGCTTCAAAATCCCAGCGCTGTCATCATCGTGTAAAGCCCGCCCCAACGTATCTGATTGATGCCGCGATTTCTGCGGACTGGAAATGGGTTTGAATGAGCTCTTTGCCAGACTAACTTTCAGAGCAAATCTAAATTTGCTGGAAGTTGTCTGGGTTTTCCCAGGCTACATGTGGTTTGAAATCCTATTCAAATCGCATTTCTCGAAATCTGTTTCAGTGCAGCTGCTCTGATTGGATTTCGTGTGGTTTATGTGAGTTTCTCACACCACATACACTGTAAATGTCAGACGTTGCTATAGGAAACATGCCAACATGCTGTTGTCGCAAAGAGTCGGGCGAGTAGAAAATGAAAAGAGACATGTTTTGAAACCAGCGGTGATGACAGCACAAAATAAAGCCAAGCATTAATATTTTTTAAAACGCCACGAATACCAGCCTCATTTTTCAGCAACAGCCTCATGGCAATAGTCCAGTCTGGATTGCAAACCCATCCATGTTGTTTTTGGCCCAAACACAACCACACAAACGAAAGAGCACAACAGGATACATAAATCGGATCAGTTGCGATACACAATGTGGACAATCAATTATTTTAGATCTGTTTCCAATTGGATGGACAAAATAATCGGATTTGGACAGAGTGTGAACGTACCCTAAATCATACTGGTTTGGACCAATGAGTAATTGATGACAGAATTTCCATTTTTGGTGAATTATCCGTGTAAATGTAGATAGATCCATTCACATACTTCCGAATGTGTGTGTGTGTATTTGGCCTTATAATTTCTGTGTTTGAAGACGTTCAGCTGAAGTTCTTTGAACTGAAGATATATGACAGTTTCTGACAATACATTTATTCTCCTCTTCTCTTTTTCTCTCCCGCATCTCACATTTTCCCAGCTCAAGCTCTTGCAGCTGTCAAATTTGACGATGAGCCCTTCTGAGTGTCCAGCAGACAAAGATGGAAAAACCCCACTGAGCACCAAGAACATATGTTTTGCCTTCGTCAAACATTGTATTTCTTTTGATTACTTACACAATACCAAGCTGAGAAATATTTCAATGTTTGGATGTCTGCGGAGGGCTGTTCACGAGGTTATCCGCCTCCACATCTCTGCGCACTCTGAATACCCACGGCAGAACTACGTTATTGAATTAATCAACTGATTTGACTTGGTTTGGGAGGATGGCAGTCATATTACAAAAAGCTACTAACTAGCCAGGAAGTGGACGATGTTTACAGATTCATATCTGCTCTCGGTCACATGAAGTGATTGGAGTACACACAGCAAATTCATGCTACAGCTGCTCAGGGCAGATTCTGCAGACACAAGCACGTTCGTGACGGGAAAGAGCGCGACGGAGGACGAGATGCGACCAGAGGAAAATAGCCATGCTTGAGGAAGTTGTAAAAAACCAGACCAAGGACTATAGCAAAGTTGTCAAAGCTCAGTTTATCAGCAAGTCATTATGAGAGAGATTTGGAACCGCTGGTATGATAATTATTTGTGTTAATTCAAAACACTAGCCTTGATCGGAACTTGGAACAATGGCAGGCCGTGGTCGAATCCGTTGTTGTTTTTGATCCAATGGATGTTGTCGATTCAAGAAGACTTTGCATTGGGCACTTCCCCTCCGACAAGTTTTAGGCCAGACTCACTGTGACTCCTCCTGGCCTCCTTCTTTCCCACAATTCACTATAGGGTTTGAGAACCCTCTTTCCGTCAACATTGCAGTCTCTCAAAAACCATTGTCAGGCCTTTAAGTACCGTGTGTATCTATAAAGAAAGCATATATATTGATATGACTATTACTCTAATCTTTGCATCAAAGCCATGTGGACTCATCATAGTGCTTTTACTGCTAGGACAGTTGTTACCAAATAATGGTACCTAAATACTTGTGAGTGTGTGTGTGTGTGTGTGTGTGTGTGTGTTAGATTAAGAGAAGCCCAAACTTTGGAAGTGTCCTTAGAGTTGTAAGTCTGCTTGTTGAAACGATGCGTGTTCATGCGGGGCCAGCAACTTGCATTACAGCCTGTATATACAGTACTGACGTTAAATTATGGAACCTGTTGCCCCAACAGAATATCAAAGCCCTTATTTGTTGGATCAGTGTGCCATTTAGAGATTCATCTGGCTTTCTTTTTCTGCTGTGGCACAGTTTTTTTGTGTAAATATATAGATTGACATGGAATTAAATGGAACAATATTTTGGATTATTTTTCTATCACTGGTAATTACCTCTGTAATCAAGCAGTTTGATTATAATGTATCGTAAAGTAAAGAACAATTTGCCAAACAATATAAATCTCCTGTTTTGTACTTTCGATCTTTCACCATATCGAAACCTCTGAATTGCCATGCAAGTTGTTAGCCCATACTGTGCTTTGTGCTTGTCTGTCTTTTTTTTTTTTTTTTTTTTTTTTTTTACATGAAATCAGTCTGTCTTAGGTCTAACTCTTGACTAAACATTGGCCTTCGCTTGTATGAGCTATTTGATGAAAAATGGTTTGAAAAAAATATATATTTCTCCCCTCGGGTAAAGTCATGGATTTTCTTCTTTATCCAAAAAAGAAAAAAAAACTGAATCAAGCTAAAAACACAGTATGAGATCTGGAAATGAAAGTCAAGTTTCAGAGAAGTAGATTACTCATCACTTTTAAGCAAAAACAGCCCTGAAGGGGAAGACATAGATCTATTTTTATTATTTTTCAGAAAGAAAAAAACGACAACAATGCATTGCATATTTTTCTATGATGTATAAATAAGGGTTTGATTGGTTACATTTATAAAATGATTAAAGAGAGTTTTGAGCTGATATATAATGGGGAATTAAGGCTGATATATTTTTAATTTATTGACTGAACCTTTACAGCATCCTTTTGAAGGCCTTGTTTAAGTGTTATTTTGTATGTAATTGGACAAAATGGTCAAAAGTCGCAGTAGGACAGTCAAAGCAGATATCTCTAATATTTGATAAAATATGTAGCGTATAAAGTGGGAATATCTCATTCAAAATAAGCACATTGTTCTGTGTAAATATTTTTAAATCAAAACACTGTATGTCTTCATATTTACTGCTATTTTAAGGGAAATAAAACAAGACTGCTTGAGCTATGCAAATCAAACAAATTAATACTTCATGTGCTTGCTTTAGAAGTACCCCCATGCAATAAAGCGAATGTATTTAAAACCTTCATTTGTTATTAAAACTCATCATTTGTTTGGATCACTTTTTGAACCTTAAACATGGAACAATCCGCCTATGTCGGAATAAGAAAAAGAAGGAAGAATTGCAGTACGGGCTAGAAAAGCTAGCTTGTTTGGACCTTTACCACATATTAACTTTAGTTTGTCAAAATATTGCGCTCTCTCCTACTTGATAAGTCCTTATGATTTCACACCTACCAGAGGTTTTTCTGTGTAACAATGTGTTCAGTAGTACATAAACAGTGCAGTCCATGCTGTTGTTTACATCCGAATGCCTCCAAAATGGCCGCTCATTCGGTTACCGCCCAGAATGTGACGTCGGTGAAAACCCTCTATACTGTGAAGGTTGCTTATCTCATCTGGTTAGTGCAACCAATTGCACAACAACTATCTGGCGTGTCATTTACACTTTGAAACACCAACTTTTGTATAAAAACTGGCGACGTCCTTTAAACATTGCATTTTCTTCATTCATACTTTCACAAACATGCAAATATTTCTAGAGTTAGAAAGTTGCTGCAATTTATTTTAATAGCACTCCCATTGAAAATAATTGGAAAAATACGCCAGCCATGTGAACAAAAAATACAATACAAAGGCCAACATTTTGAGAAATGTTGCTGGATAGTGATGCCGTCAACGGGCAACCAGATGAGACACAGGGCCCACGACCAATCTAAATTATCCAGTTGGAAATTTCTTGCCCATTTTCAATGGAAAGTAGCCAAGCAACAATTGCTCTGCAAGATTGCCTAACAACACTGCTCAAAAAGTTGCCCTGTGGATCATCACCTTTAGTCTTGTTTTGGCAGTTGGAAATGGAATAATCCACAACGAAATAGACTGGCCTCAACAGTATTGAGTATTCCATTTCCAACTGCCAAAACAAGACTGATGATAGGTGATGATACACAGGGCAACTTTTTTAGCAATGCTGTTGGGCAATCTTGCAGAGCGAAGATGCCGTCAATGCATCTTTCCAACATGTTTTTTTTTTGTTTGTTTTTTTCAAACATTTTTAAAATCAAACGCTTTATTTGTTAGCATTAGTTGACACACTGTGAACTAGTGACACATGCCTTTGGTGTGAGAGACCCGGGTTCGAATCCACTGTGAGACACCAATGTGTCCCTGAGCAACACACTTAACCCCTAGTTGCTCCAGAGGCGTGCGACCTCTGACATATATAGCAATTGTAAGTCGCTTTGCATAAAAGCGTCAGCTATATGAATAAATGTAAAAATATGTGACATCAATGCTTCAAAAAGCTCATTGTTAATTCCTGTTAGCAATACATTCATTAATGTTAACAAATGGAGCTTTATTGTACAAAGTAAAGTGTTTTACAACGTGGGAACAAAATGCATTTGTTCCCACTTCCACAAGAGATAATGCTGAGTCAATAGAGATGTGAAAATTCATAATAGAGTTACACATTAGAATGGTGAACCCTTGCTGTGTTATGAGCTGCAGTAGCCACTCTCACGCCTGGTGTGGAAAACTGGTATCTCAAATGAAGTGCAATTTTTCATTAAGTTTTAATGAATTTCAATTCAAATGAATTTTTTTATATATACATCATTGCGGTCATGAGCATATAGAGTGCTTTAAAACATGACGGCGGTGACTAAATGAAATGACGTACAGTAGTTTTCCTACCTCCTTTTATTTTTTTTCCCCATTCTGTGATTTAAAAAAAGGCTTCATTAAAGAGTTATAAATAAGCCATGAAACAATCAGCTACAAGTTGAATCACAACATTACAAACTTTGAATTTTTTAAACTTTGAAACTTTTGAATTTTTTTTTTCTTAACAGCTTTAGTGAAGGAAAGAACTACAATAATAATCGAATTATAATCTACAGCATCTTGGGTAATGGAGTTTTTCACTAATAATTCAGCTGTTAATATGCCTGTTTTTAAAGGTTAAAGTTATTGTTCAAAATCAGTTTTTCTATAGAGAAAATGAATGGAGAAACAATGTGATTGAGTATTGCATTCTGGGTAGTCGCTGCCACGTTAGGAAAACGTATGAAAAAAGTCAAAACTGCAAGTTTATATCTTGTACACTGTAAAAAAAATATATTGTTGGTTCAACTTAAAAAAGTAAGTAACCTGGTTGCCTTAAAATTTTAAGTTGATGGAACTGGAAAAGGTGAGTTAATGTAATGAAGGAGATTGATTTAATCATCAGACACTCAAAATAATAAGTTATCTGAACTAAATAAATTATTTAAGTTGATTTGACAAGAAAAAATGTTGTGATAACAAATCTGGAAAATATTTTTTTACAGTGTTGTTAGACATAAACTCAGTCACATTTGTAAGATAGTCACATTTACAGTACCTTTTTTATTTTGTGGCAGAAACAAGGTTCCATACAACAGGGAACATTAATAAAATATATGACCTTTGAATGCCGCTCTTGACAAGTCAGAAGGGGTCTTTTATAAAATTATTATTTTGCACAATTTTCTTCTGAACACAGCTAATATGAATATACAATTATGTGTCATGCCAAAAAAAGCACATTACATTCTCCAATTATTTAGATTGGGGACAGGGGATATTACCAAATTGTGAAAAGGTGTCAGAGCGTACTTTTGGCAGTGTCAGCGGTCACGTTTAAGATTAATTCTTTTGTGGGATGTCAGGTAAGGAAATAAAGGGCAGAGGTTGAGTGGACATATGCATGAGTGAATAAAGTGTAAAAGAGATAAAGGGATCGTTATTCTAATACGTTTGGTTAATGTTCACCCTACGGTAGGGTTCAAAGTCAAGTATTTATGGGAAACATTCAAATCAGTAAGAACCAAGGACCAAAACTGGGACATCTAAGCCAAGAAAGACAACACAGGGGAAACCATGATCACAATCACTGCGTTTCAGAGTGAGTGTCTTTCTTTCACTGAATATAAAAGAACCGCAGTTACAGCTGAACTCAAAGACAGTTGTATATTCATTCTGACTTGTAGAATGACAATATGTTCTCCCTTTTAAATGACTACAGTAATAATTGCTTGATTACTAACTAAAAAATATAGCTAAACAATCTGTTCTTATTGGATTCTAGAAATCGGTGTGGGCCTGTCAGGATTCGGCATATTCTTTGTGCTGTTTGGAATATTGCTGTACTTTGACTCGGTCCTGTTGGCGTTTGGTAATGTAAGTGCAAAAGCCTGAGCTGTTTAGATATGACACACACTAGATCTTTGGTCATGGGGAATGTTTTTAAAGGGGTAGTTCTAAAAATTGGACATCTGACCAGCCACATGTCACTTTTAGCAAACATGAAGCTATTTTGCTAATCTATTCCATACAAACTTTAAATCCAACTTGTATTACAAATAAAAGCTATATTTCAAACTAAAATATTGAGCTGCACATTTTTTTTTTAACATTGATAATCAGAAGTCAGCATATTAAAATGATTTCTTAAGGATAATTTTAATATGCTGATGATCATTTATCATTTAATAATAAAATAGACAACAGTTATTTAAATTGTCACGTTTCATAATTGTACAGTTTTTACTTTAGCTATTCATACTCTGCAGTCACGTGACTACCATGGATGCCTGGCGGGCAACAAACGGGTATTTTCAACGATGATAAAGGTCTTATCTAGGATCCTTCGAGTCATGACTCGAAAAAAAGATTTGTTCATTTTGATGAACGAGTTTGAACAGGAGAGTCACGAGCACTCATCACAAAACAGAGAAAGGCGAGCATTTGTGCTCATAAAACTTAAACTTTTTTATTTATTTTTTTAAATGACCTATCGTTTCACTATAAGACCCTTATTCATCGTCTGAATTTGTTTAAAGCCCCTTTGAAGCTGCACAAAAACTCTCATTTGGACCTTGAACTGTTTGGTTCCCATTTAAGTTCATTATATGGAGAAAATCCTGGAATGTTTTCATCAAAAACCTTAATTTCTTTTCGACTAAAGAAAGAAAGACATGGACATCATGGATGACATGGGGGTGAGTAAATTATCAGCAAAAGTTTTTTTTTTTTTTTTTTTTTAAAGTGAACTACTCCTTTAAAGACACGATTAATTACATGATCACACACCCATTGTATTCAAACAAATGATGAAATTACCTTGAGTGTTGGAATGATAGTTCAACCGCACAACAACTATCTGGCGTGTCATTTACACCTCGAAACAACAACTTTTGTATAAAAACTGGCGACGTCCTGACAAGATCCTTGATTACTGGGTTTCGTTGCTGGAGAACCGTGTTCTTGCCCGCCAGCCAGTACTTTTGATGTCACGTGCAAAGTATGAATTGTAATTAATGCAACCTTAAATGTTCCTTTCAAAAGCGTAAAAAAAAATCAGTGCACATACATACATAAGTTTATTTATTTGTTTTTCCTTCTCTTGTAACAGATTTTGTTTCTGTCTGGTCTGGCCTTCATCATTGGCTTGAGGAGGACCGTCTACTTCTTTTTCCAGAGAGAGAAGCTCAGAAGCTCCGCCTTCTTTCTAGGAGGCGTGGCTTTAGTTCTACTAAGATGGCCTCGTATTGGCATGCTAGTGGAAACCTATGGCTTTGTGCTTCTATTTAAGTGAGTAAACAGTTGAATCACATCCTGTCCATGTGTGCGGGGCAGCCGCCTCATTTGGTTAAGATATTCTTAATTTAAACCAACCAAGATGCATTTAGCTTAATCTCATTTTGAAACCTTTTTATATTTTTACTAAATACACACTATTTGTCTGCTTGAATTTGGCTTCATTCTTGGATCGTTCCTCTCCTAAACTGACAAATAACACACATCTGCATTGTTTGTAGGTCATTCTTCCCAATGGCTTTTGGATTTCTCTCAACAGTCTTGAACATTCCCTTTTTAAATACGGTATGGAACAATAGTTGGATCAAAACCACCACAACCAAAGTATTTCTTTTTTTACAATACAATTAAACATTCAGGGTTGACTAAACATTCCTCATTGTTTCTTTGCTCCCTTTAAGATTTTAAACAAGTTATCTGGAAGCAGTTCCTCAATGGTGTGAGGGCAGATGTTGGACATCTGGATGTGCTGCTGCAGTGCACTGTTCAAATTTTAGTTTTTTTAAATATAGTATATAGATATAACTAAGGGATATGATGGATTGTGTGAGTCATTTTTTATAACAACATGTAATAACACTACAATAACTTAAGAATGTTATTTTTTTGTTCAAAACATATCTTTTTCCATATATATATATATATATATATATATATATATATATATATATATATATATATATATATATGCTGCAATATCAGGGTTTGATGAGCGCAAGACATACGTTGATCTGTACTTTTTACATTTTACTCTTGAGATGAACACAAGCAAAAATAAAATGACTGGTGAAAAGCTTCTCAACGCTACAAGTTATGAATATATATATTTTAAAGGAGTGCTTTTCCAATCATCTCATTTCTATTCCATCTGTCTGCTGGCCACAACTTCAATGAACTACCCTCAAATAGAAAATCAAATGATATCGAGTTCAAATATATAAAGGCTTTGTGGTTCTGGAATGTTCCGGTGAAATGGATGGGTGGTGGACCCACCCTGGGGCAAAGACAAGATCAGAGGGAAAGAGGGGAAGCTTATGCAGGTCTCCCACCCACTGGGGAGGCTATGACGTAGGTGATATTGTATGAAAAAGATAAATTGTGTCTGAACATTGGATGGACCAAACACAACCTCCATACCAGCAGGTGTAAAGGTAAGCCATTTACTTTATTCTCCCACTGCCGTGAAATGTTCATGTTTGCATTGAGTTACATGTTAGTGTACGTGTGTAAGCACACATTTCTGTGTGATGGTCCATTTGAAGTCTTTAGGGTGTGGAAGCACACATTTATACATTCTGTGTGATGGTCCATTTGAAGTCTCGATGGTTTGATTGACAGTTTTACATTTACATACGCATTTGACATTTTTTTTTTTTTTGACATATTCGGTTTTGAAGAATAATTTTCATTTTTTCTTTTTTGCTTAACAGCATTTTGCTCACAAAATATCTGATTAGTTGATATTATTGTATTACTTTTTTTATTCATTTACATCAATAAACAGAATAGGAGAGGGTTGAAAGGCTGATTTCTGATGCTTTTGATAACTTAAATTCTCTTTGAAGTGTGTGTGTGAGTGTGCATGTGCTGTGTGCATGGTCCTTGTAAACTCTACAATGCATTATGTATGCACAAGAATGGCAATACAATGATGGGACTTTTTTCCAGTAAGGTAAAAAGCTTATCATACTGAATTATGTGGTTTTGACAATGTGTGTGTCTGAGCTCACGAGTATGCAGATGAATGTCACTGAAACGTGTGATCTCCTAAATGAGTCTTCTTATAAATACCCATGATTCAGAAAACAACCATTTGTACCGGTTTCTAATTACATTTCTTTCTTACAGAAACTAACTTTGGTTCAAAACGCATTCAAAATGATGCTACTTGTGATGCTCATTTTGATGATGTCAGTGGCGATTCAAGACACATACTCTTCTTCAGAGCATTTTCAATACTTAAAAGGTAAGTTTAATGCTGTGTTAACTGGAATTATCTTCTAATAAATATAGCCTATATAAAAATATAGCACATATTAAAATGTGTTAAAAGTCTTAAGGCAACAAATGCAACGCATTCTCACCCCAAGGCGTCAGCTTTTGACCATGCTTCAATATTCGACGCTTTAGGCGTCTTTTATCGTCAGTTACATGACGTGATCCTACGGAGTCATCTACCTGACGCTAAAGGAAAAGCTTCAGTTAGATGATGCGGGTAGGTTCAGGTCTGGGGTAGTTGTAGGGGTAGGGTTACATGCGATCCTAGGGCGTCATTTAACTGACGCTAAAGGGTGCCTAAAGCGTCAGATATTGACGCCAGCCAGGTGACGCCTTGGGGATGAGAATGGGCTGACAAATGACAATGCAACTGAAAAGAAAATAGCCGTCATTGTACAAGTTTTACAACATTTACTATTGTCGTAACAAATGTTATGTTTATAGTTTTGTGGAAAAGCCGTATTGGACATGTAAATACTGTAAAGCAGAGTTTCACTTGTCTGAATGAAAGACCTATCTCTAGATGAAACTCCTGAAGAAGCATCATTCCGGGTTCTCAGGAGAACTGATCCTCGTCCCACAGCTGGATCTCCTTCTCCCAAGCTCTCAATGCACTTCTCTATGGGTGCAGATCCTCAGCGGAGCACGTGGTGGTTGTCTCCAGAAAAGCCTTACACAAAAAGAAGGCAGCCTGTTGCATACTACAACCTCAATTCCTTTGGTCTCCGCTATGGGAAGAGAGAACAGAACATGCTTGCCGGATTTAAACAGAAGATTCATGTAAAGTGAGGTCCAGTAGACCCTTTTTTTCAGTTGTACTGTATATTGTTCTAGTGTTCTTTGTGACCCTTTAATCATCGGTATGTGATTGAATGTACTGATGGATTAATATGTGAACTGAACATCTAAGACAGCAACTTAGACCCCGTTTACACCTGGTATTAAAATGCGATCTGTATCCAGATAAGTTATCCGGATAATAAAAAACGCATGTTAATGCAAGGTGTAAACGCGTTGTGATCGGATCGTGATCGGATCTGCCTGACCACATCTGGAGGTAGTCTGGCTCGCATTGTGTCCGGATCTTTACTAGGTGTAAACGCAATCTGGTTGTTGAAACCACATATGTATATTTTACTCCTCCCAAAAATGCTAAAAAATAAACGAGTGAGAGCGTGTTATATAGGCTATATGTCATGTTATAGCCTAGTCAGATGCGACACGCGACACGCATCACCGCAGATGAGCAGCTGAGCGTCTATTCAACGTGCAAACATCGCAAATAAAAGTGAAAGTAAGTCACAGACGCAGTTAACACATCTTCAAGTAAAGAAACGAAATTATCTTACCAGGCCTGTTGCCACTCTCTCTTATTGATGTCTCTGATTTGGAAATTAGCTGATGATCAATAAAATGCCGCTCAGATCTGTTGCTTTTGGTGGCGTGCAATCCAATAAATCTGCATATAACGCAGGAGGTGAAGATCGGATTTATATCCGTTTTGCAAAAACACATTTATGTGGCCAGGTGTAAATGGAATCAGTACTTATTATCCGGATAACTTATCTGGATACAGATCGCATTTTAATACCAGGTGTAAACAGGGTCATAGTGTCAGCCCAGATCCAGGCCCACACATCTGGTACACGTTGATTCCACATGGCTCTGGGCCAACACTATTGCTGTCTGGGATTAGTGGGATAGTTCATAATCTTCACTATAAAGAGTTGTATTGATAACTTAAAGGCTCCATTTTACTGGTAATTAAAAAATTATCAAACAACCTGAATAAAGGGACTTTATTTGGTGACATTTAAAATAAATGGTAAAAATGCTATTTAAAATGACTGAATCGTAAACTAGGTTCAATGCATTAGGTTACACCCCTTTTGTGTGTGTATACTATGTGTACTTTCTTTTTCACACACTCAAAAACCTAACGTGTTTTTTTTTTGTTTTATACAAATAAATTGTGATAATATTTTATGTTGCCACATCAAGCAAAATCTGGAAGTTGTTAAAGTTCTCTGATAATTTCTGTATGTAAACTGTTGCACTAAACCAAAGTCAACTGCTCACTAATTAAACTAAACTATCGGCAAAATGGCACAAAATTCGATCATTTAAAGACTGGACTTAAATGTCGACCTGTATGTGAGCTGATTGTATATCAATAATAATAAAATTAGAAAAAAAATCTGTAAAATTGTATTTTTTTTATTTTCAAGTACAAATTTTAACATTCAAAGCATCTCTTTCAATGAGCAAGATATTTTGGTACTGTATCTTCAATTTCTCACCTTATTTAAAACTGGTGACGCTCAACCACAACTTTCCACTGACTCTAGATGGTAATCTGAGCGTTTCCGTGGTTGTGCTTTTGAGAGGGAACTTGATCAGCACTTTGAAACAAATATTAAAGAATTAGTGCGAGTATCTGAAAAACTAAATAATTATTGCGAGTGTCTGAAGTCATGATGTGGATCATACACCCTGTGTCCATTTTTACACTCTACATGTTTCTCTTCAATGAGCTGGCAGGTAAGACACGTGCACAAACTTTATTTTTATTTTTCAGATATATTTTTTAATAATGCTCAATAGGCTGATTATTTTTAAAACCATGTAGGGTATCTAGCTTAATATAAAATTATATAATATCAATAATAACAATAAAGTAAGATAACAACAGTAAAATTCTTAAAGAAAATGCACAGTGTGCAGAATAGAAAATTATTATTAAATTAATAGAAACTCTTTTAATTATATACCATATGTATCACTATAATACAGTTGTTATTTAAACAGTTAACCCAACTTGTTTAAGATCTTAAAGTTGTGATCAAGTAAAACTTGTGTGTGTGTGTGTGTAAATGATTTAACGACAAGCACAAACGTGTACAAATATATCATCTGGAAAGGAAAAAAAAAAGATACCAAATATTTCTTATGTGCTAGAGAATGATTTTGAGTCATTAAATATGCAATATATTGATGTAAATTATGTTGGAATGAATCTGTGATATGCAATTTGTAACTTTGTAACAAATCTGAAACTGAATATAGAGTAATACAAAATCAGCACACATTGCCAAGTTGATAACCTGTCTCGGTTTGTTTTATTATCGCACAGCTCCAGCTAACAATTCAACCACAGAAGACAGAGTTTGGTAATTCTGCAAACATAACAAACTTTTTTGGTAGATTTTCTATGCAACACATTATTTTATACTTTTATCCTTTGAGCAGTAGCTATTCTGTGAGAAGTGGCATGTTGATGGCATACAAATCACCTAAATGACTTGAAAATATTTTAATTGTGTAACTACACAACTTAATCTTGTGATGATTCCAGTTATCAACATTTATTTATGCATTGTTTTAGTGTTGTTCTTCATCCGTTATTGTACGGCATCATCTGCTTCCTCGTTTTCTTGGTTGTCATTCTCCTGATTCTTCTCTTTAAAGTATTCATCTCGATGCAAAGTGGTGAGTGCATTACAGTACTGCTTATTTATTGAAAATATGCATGAAAATAACAATAACAAGGATTCATTCAAAAGATAAAGCTTTTTTTTTTTTTTTTTGCCTAGTAGCCTATGTGTGTGATTTTTGTTTCAACTCAGGCTTTAGAAGAGACACTATCCACATAGCCAGCGACACGGGAGAATCAACCGCTTTCAGTCAGAATAATGCATTAAGTATTTCCTCTCCTTCATGCGATGGTAAAAACACGTTTTACAATTTGTCTTACCGTTCGTGAGGCTTTCACGCTAAACTTTGGCCTTGTCAATTAGGTGGAGATAATTCATCCTCTACTAGTTCTGGGACCCCCGAAGGCTCGGTAAGTCATTTGGAAACCATCCTTCTCGAAATACCATCCATTATATTCCAGATGCAACACGTGCCATTGTAATGGTGTTGCAATTCTTTATTAACATTTTTGTTTGATATGGGATTTTGTTTTTGTTTGGGTGTCAGCTGGCTGATCTCTCTCAGCGGTATGCAAGCCTTCAAGACCGTTCTAAGACTTCTGACTACATAAATGTTGCAGAGAGTGCTTCACCTGCACCAGGGGCCTTTCGTAATAAAAAAATGGATATAGACTATGTGAATGTTAAAGAGTCCCAACAACAGAAGACAATCAACAGTAAAGGCCAAGCGAGCTGTGATGACGGCACTAAAAGTGTTAGCAGCGATGCTAGCGACGAGTCTGCTGTGAATTACTCCAAGATTGTCTTTATTAAGACAGATAGGTCTAAGTAAAAGATATGATTGGCTTTGGTAAAAAAAAAAATGTCTTAAACGAATCACTCACGCACCCAGAAATTAAAAATTTGATCATTTACTCACCCTCAAATCTGTGTGACAAGAATGTTTCAGTAGTTTTTGTTCATACAATAAAAAACAATGGGGTCAAAAGTAACACTGCTTGGCTTGACATTTGATTTTATGGACTAAGAAATAGCCTAAAAAATCTACTTTTGTGTTTCACAGAAGAAATTGGTTTGGCATGAGGGTGAGTAAATCATGACAGAGGTTTTATGTTACAATTTAATAGTCCTTTTAATATTCTATAAAAAAGGATTGCGCAAAACTTACAAAACTTCATATTTTCACAACAAAAACATACCATTTTAAACATGGTTATCTGAGCATAAGAGATGGGAGTTTTCCAGTGAATTTTCAGCCACACTTTTTAGTGAATTTTTCAGATCATAAAACACCACATCCTGACAGGAAGGAACCAGACATGCATCTGTGAACAGTAATAAATAACTCATTTAAATGTGCAGGCTGCAAATGCTGTAACCTAATAACATGCCCCTTTCTTTACTATTGACACTTGCTTTTCCACCGCCAAGCATCGTTTTTCATTTAAGGCCTGTGGGAGACCATAAAAATCTCACGATTCTCCAGGAGTGCATCTTTCTTGAAAAATGTTATGAGGACAATTTTTAAGTTTAACGGTCATATTTCCCAATACCACCACACCTTTGAAGCATTTTTTTAATAATTGATATTTACAGGTTTAATATTTGATATGCCACACATCAAAATGTCAATCTTAGTAGAAAATGTTCTTAAAAGCTTAAAAGTTTCCATCAGTGCTATGTATTTGGAACACCTTAAAGGTTTGACGCTGTAAAAATGAATATGCTTTATCTAATAAAAAAAATAAAATAAAATAAAATGTGGCAACAGATAAGCAATATTATTAAATAAATTTAACAAATTAGAATTGAGTAATAATTAATCAAATTAATTCCTTAAAGGTTAACCATTTAAAAGGAGTAAAACTTACAACAACCAAAACAAAAAAACACAAGTTGAAGTCACCATTGTTGTGATCGGTGTTTGTTTTAGGTTTATTTTAAAATTATGGTTTTCTCCTTCAGTGATTCTGCTTGTTAAAATCAGGTGTCTTCAATGTTGGCAATATAAAATAAAGAGTTCTTAATTCATCTTTGATGTCTGTCTGTTAGTTGAGATATTTTTGTTAATTTTTTTGGTGTAAATTTTACTCATTTTAAATGGTTAACTTTTAAGGAATAATTTGATTAATTATTACTCAATTCTAATTTGTTACATTTATTTAATAATATTGTTTGTAATCTGTTGCCACAGTTCTATTGATTAGATAAAGCATATTAATTTTTACAGTGTATACAGAGAACCCTTTTTAAGGGTTCAATTCTTTGTAACCAGGAAAAAGGTTCTATATGGAACCTTTTGGGTTCATTCATTATGATTTGTTATGTCCTTTCCGGATTAAATATTTCATATTATTGTCAAACTTCAAGACCCAAAAAATGTATTTATGAATGCATGTGCATGATCACAAAATTCAAGAAATGTATCTATTTAAGGTCAATGTGTCTTTATTACTGTATTTATATCCTTCTATGTAGTTAATCAATATCACACGAAGAGTACCATTTCAGTTTTTCACCTCCAAAAATCAACATGATTAAATTGTGATATTAAAGGTGGGGTAGGTAGAAATAAAAAAAAAAATCCCAAATTTGTTTAAACTGTCTATGCCAATACATAATTAAAATGTAAGTACTCTGAAAAAGAAAGTATACAAACTGAGTGTCTGTAGTCCTCTCAGTGCTGCAATAAACACAGCTCATTATTTCATTTACTCCCACCCCCTCTCGTCTGGGATCTTTACAAAGCCACGCCCCCAAAACACATGAATGCGAGCTGCCAACTGCGCTCAGCTGGAGGACGTGTTTACGAGGTTTTTTTTTTGTTTGTTTGTTTGTTTGTTTTTGAAAATGTATCCACCTTTAAGTTACTACAACAGTTTAATAAACAATAATTTAATTACAACTACAAAATGTTGCAGAATAATGTAATATATGAATGAATAATAGCCTATAAAGAACCTTTGTGCCAAAAGGGTTCTTTCTTGTCATTATAGAACATTTTTTGGCATAAAAGGTTCTTTGGAGTTGAGTAAAGAACCCATATGCTTCATATATATAACCCCAATGAACCATTTTTTTTTTTCTAAGAGTGTGGATCACATCAGCTTGCACTGACACTGTCCCACCACTTCGTGGTATCAATGACCCAATGCCAAGAGCACAAATTCAATATCATTCTTCTCATTTTAAGGCCAAAACATTTTTCATGCGATAGCCTAAACAACCGTAACTACACGTGTGGATATCTGATAAACACAAACCCTCAAAGGAACCCAATGGACTTTAAAAGTCACCCTATATTCTGATAAGACACAGATGTTTAAATAATTAAATAATTAGAAGAGACATTCAGGTTCCTAGAAACTCTTCTATTTTGAGTTCACATTCGAATTGAATTTATTACAAAATTAGTTTTGCATTGGGGCACTTTTTTTAGGTGCTGCACAAAGTGAGCCTTTTGTGCAACTGCTTTAAATTCAGCAGCAACGGTTTTAGTTCAATGAACTTAACATGCATGTCTATAAATAGAGTTACACTATGTTACAAACTTTGTGTAATAGAAGATTTGCTACAGACATTATAAACACACCACTTATGTGGTTCTGAGTAGGGATTGGAAGAAATACAGTTCATATTGAAGTTCATATCTTTAATGGCAGTGCAGCAAAGAAAAGCCATTGCATTGCTCACATCCGACTAAAATTGGATGTTCTGTCCACTTCATGATTCAGCTGCAGGCACATCATGTTGTTATTCCAAGATAAGATCCAAAACCAAACCTTTTTTTCACTAAACAAAATTGGGATTGTCACATAATCAAAACTTTAATAGTGTTTTTTTCACAGACAATATAAAGAGATTGGATGTTACGAAACGTTAATCGATGCAAGGAGGATTCCAATAATTTTGGCACATCCACAGAGGTTTGGCGTGTGAAGTGTGGTGGTTGGGTAAAATAACAGTGCTCTGTTTCCATAAATCACCCCTGCACATGCAAGATCTGTGTTGTAGACAAAAACAAAAACAAAACAACAACAACAACAATTAAGGTGGTGTGTCCCTAAACCTTTTTTCCTCCAATTTTGTTTTATTATGGCTCTGCTTTATTCTCATTATAAACCATGGAAATTGCTAAATCCAGTTCTGACATTTTGCACAAAACAACAGCTTTGCACAAAGAAGCTAACTCTGTGGTCATCGATGCATTGGTAATAAGCCAATGTCATGAAATTAAGTTGTAAAACGTGCAGTATAAACAATCGATGAAAGAAAAGAAAAAACAAAGACCGGTGAGGTATACCAAATGTTAAAAGCTGTCATTGTCTTAATAGCTCTAATGTGTAATGGCTTCAGTGTGTCAACAATTACAATGGTTTCATTATCGAATTAAATAAAACTGGCTGGTATGTTTTTAATTTCTTGTGTGTAATGAAAGTTTGACCACCAAAACCTCATATCAAAAAACTGCCTTCTACACTGTTTAAGACCTTTTAAGACAGATTTCACTTTTAAAACCACAAGAATTGCATTTAGGGCTGGAGGAATGGATTAATTTTCTTTTTTTTCCCCCGTTTATTACCAGTGACAAAGTATTTTCAATCTTTTATCTGTTGTTTTATATCTGTATATGTAGGGAGACCAGTGCGTCTCTAGGGTTTTGCCTATAATGTCCAGCTGCATAAATTATTGGTTTCAAACACTGTCTTGAATTAGTACTTTTTGTGTGTGAATTATAGCTTCCAAACAATCCTAGTTTTGTTATAGTAACAATGTGAATTAAAATGGAACTAATGTCAAAGTAACGTCTCATTGACATACGCACCTATTAGTCTCGTGAAAGCTTCAAATAATAAGTGTGTGGGATTACAAATTTAAGAATCATTTTAAGATCTGCTTTTCTTGACATTACACCACACAAAACCAATGGTGAAGTACATTTTATACAGGATTATTAGCATCATTTACTTCATTTACTTACATTGTTCCAAACCCGTAAGACTTTCGTTCATCTTCGGAACACAAATGAAGATGACGCCTCAAAAAGAGATAAAGAGATCACAAAACTAATCAATATGAATTGAGCGGTTTAGTCCTATTTTCTGAAGAGACTCGATCACTTTATAAAAAAGAGATTGAGATTAGGGTTCTATTCACGTATAAACATTAATCAGCGAACATAAACAGAAGCTCAAACATACTTGTTTGACTTGAAAGAATAAACCTCATTGGTTCTTGCAGAAGCTCATATGTACTGTGTAACAGACAAATCTCGAATCTGCCTTTTCTGTCAAACACACTGGAAAAAGCAGTATCCTCATAACTGTGTTCCATTCTTGAAAGAAATGATACCGAGACAGCTCTCTTTAGAGCCACAAATGATTTGCTCTTATCCGATCGTGGTTGTACAGTATCTCTCTGTTAGTGTTACTTGAACTTATTGCTGCATTTGACACAATTGACCACAACATTCTTTTAAATAGACTAGAAAACTATGTTGGCATTTGTGGAATTGCATTAGCATGGTTTAAATCATACTTATCTGACCGTTATCAGTTTGTAGCAGTAAATGAAGAGATGTCTTATCGATCACAAGTTTAGTATGGCATACCACAAGGCTCAGTACTAGGACCGCTGCTGCTCACTCTGTATGCTACCCTTGGGAGATATCATTAGGAAACATGGAATTAGCGTTGACTATTACAGTATGCCGATGATACTCAGCTGTATATTTTTTCAAAACCTAACGAAACTTACCAATTCATAAAATTAACGGAATGCATAAAAAAAATGCATTCTGAAACTATAAACTAAATTCTGATAAAACAGAGATTCTAATTATTGGACAAAAAACTTCCACACA